GGGTTTAAAGGTCCAGTGTGTAAGATTTAGGGGGATCTAGTGGGATCTAGCGGTGAGGACTGCATATTACAACCAGTTGAAACTTCTCATGGTTCAGTGTTCTTTGATTAGGAGATTTTCACAGGGTCCCAAATTATCCGCAGTGGTTTTCTCCTCTCCAAAACAAACAGACCATGTGATTAAAACTGGTAAAAATACTGAATAAAGCAGTTTCATGATACAAATCATCTTTCTCAGATGCTATTTGGCATGTCGGGGACAGGTGGATTACCTGACAGATGCGGTATGAGGAAACTAAAGTGTTTTTTTGTTTTTGTTTTTTTTAACCATTAAAATCATTGAAATATATTGTAGTAGGAACCTTAATACATTAATGCATAAAATGTCCTCTTGAAGGTGCATGCAGGGTCAGTTTTTGTGGAAATAGCAGATGCTTATTTGTGCTGGTGTAGTATTAAATGGTAAATTTATTTAAAAGAAAAAAACAAAACAAAAACGAGACAAGAAAGGAGCGCAACAACCTGCCATTCTAAAACACCAAACAGTGAGCAGCGCGGAACCTGTGGCTTTGTGCTTAAGCCTAAACCCAACATTCAGGCTGCTAACGTGCGCTGCCAATCTCACTTACATTGTACATTGTAATGGTTGGTCATTCGCAACATTTTTGCATCTTAAGGGGTTCAAGCCCAAAGGGCTAAAACCCTATTGTTTATGTGCTGTTTTATCATTATCCATCCATCCATTTTCTAACCGCTTATCCTCTTGAGGGTCGCGGAGGGGCTGGAGCCTATCCCAGCTGACATCGGGCGAGAGGCGGGGTACGCCCTGGACTGCAGGGCTGACATGTAGAGACAGACAACCATTCACACTCAAATTCACACCTACAGAGAAAACCCACGCTGACACGGGGAGAACATGCAAACTCCACACAGAAGGGCTCCCACACCCGGGATCGAACCAGGAACTCTCTTGCTGTGAGACGACAGTGCTAACCACCACACCACAGTGCCACCCTGTTTTATCATTATTATTAGTATTATTATTATTACTTCTCTTTTTTAAAAAAATGGTTATCTTGTGGTCATTTTTTTGCCTTTCGGAGCGTCGAGGCAGACAGGACATAAGAGAAGAGAGAGGGGAACAACATGCAAGAAAGGTTCCACCTGACCCAAGTACATGATGGTGATGTGATTTGAGGTGCCTATATACTATAATAACTTCCCTACAAAGGCTTGGACGTTACAGAGCTTTGTTATACCGATCAAAAATTCAAAACAGCCGAGTACCTGTATGGACAAAAAAAGGATACTGAAAGGATAAACCTATCAGTCTGAAAGAAGCCACGGAGCTTGTGGCTCGCTACGTGGTCGGAGAAATGCTGCCGTTGTCTACGGTGGAGTCTAAATAGGTGGAGTAGGACTCGCTGACAGACATATTTCAGACTCAGGACTTGCATTATGCCTGGTACAAACTAAACGCTGGTACTCACCAATTATAACAGATAGTCTTTCACGGCGTGTGTGATGTCATCAAATTATTCTTGTCATATTTTTATAACTTAAACTATTATTTGAGTCACTGTGTCTGTTCATGTGCCAGCTGACATGTTGTTATAGTCACCTAAAAGCGTCAGCAGATGGCAGGAGCAACATTTGAAGCACCATACGTAAACTATCAAGCTACTGTATCTTCCACAGGAAGTTCTGACAAATGTTTCAGAATAAAAGCCTATTTAGAAAATGGAGGGATTCTCTCAGCCGCGGTTATAAGGGGCTTTTCATTTGAAACAAGTGTTGAGTTTGAAATGACAGTGCGATATGTTAACTTTACAAAGACAACGGAGCAGATAAAAAGTAAATATATAAACACACAGAGGGATTAATAAATAACGGACCATCTATAATGTAGTTTGTTTCAAATGAAGCTGGGAGCCTCTGCAGTTGTGGTGAGTAAAAGCCCCGCCGCTATTAGTTAATGTTATTACTTTATGTCCGACCGTGAGGATGTACCATTGTTACCCTTACCCAACACTGTTCACCACAGATTAGAAAAAGAATGGATATGCCGTCACCATTTTATATGACCACATTTTGAGCCAAACAGTGGATCAGGCTCAAAGACTGTAGTGATGCCATGCAGACAGCCTGTCATCCAAAGTGGTCATGCCCTCAATCATGTGTAACTTTAAGCCTTAAAATGTAAACAGTTAAGTTACATAAAAATTCACCCGCCATACAGTTATCGATGTTTAAATTAGCTATAGAGACCAGGACTGTTTTTTGTATCACACTGTAAACATGCGTCTTTGTGCTGTAAAGTTGGGCTTTTTAACACGGGAGGCTAAGGGGATTGACTTGCTCCTGAAGCCAGCCTCAAGTCGTCATTCAAGGAACTGCAGTTTTTGACACCTCAGCGCTGGCTTCATCTCTCAGCCCTGGAGGTTGCTGCTTGCTCTTAAACTGTGTGACAGCTGTATTTTCTGTTTGTGTTGTTAGCGTTTGTTGTAACAATGATTATTCTACCCTCTTAGCCAGGTCACTCTTAAAAAATACATTTTTATCTCAGTAACACTTTATCTGGTTTAATGGCTTCAAAATATTTTTCTTTGGGACTGTGCTCAGAGTAATGTGGCATTACTGGATCACAAATCATCATTTTTACTGGTTCCTTGATAATTTTTTCCTTTTTCCTAATTTGCCCGTTCTTTCTCTTCTTGCCTTTCTAAGTGCCCCTTGGTGGGTGTTCTAGGAGTGTTGCTTTGAGATGCAAATCACAACTTGAAACTTCTCCCTCTCAGTGCTTGTGGGCAGTCTCTTAGAATAACCTCTCTGCGTCTGTGCCCATGACAACTGGACAATTTAGTCAGGGCTCTCACTGCTTGCTGACAGCTAATGGGGAGCCATAAGTGGCCCAACTGCTGTGGGTAAAAGCTCAATAGGTGATTATTACACTGGTCTCCTGCAGGCAGTTTTCTAACTCTTTGTGTCAGATCTTGAGCCAGATGCATTTCAGTGATTGAATGATCCTTTAGACACACTAACAGAATGGTTCTAGGAAGGCAATTTGGTTAGTATACTATTTTGGTTCAGACTAAAATATTGCAACAACTATTCTGTCGACTGCTCTGGCATTTTGGAGAGGATGAATTTTGACTTCAGTGATCCCCTGACTTTCTCCAGTGTCCCCACAAGGTTGACATTTTTGTTTTTTAGTGAAATGTTTGATGGATAGCCGTTTGGTACAGACAGTGTCCAGAGGCTGATGCTGTTGTGTTACATGGCACACCCGTAACGCCTCTTTTGCTTCCATAATGCCAGCATGCTGTTTAAGATCACACATCGGAGCAGCATGATGCTCCCGTCTTTGGTTCTGTGTAAAAGTGCAAAGTCAGCATGAAGAAGGGACTTAGTAGTGGCACTATAGCGCCATCTCTCTATGAAAAGACAGCGTGGCTATAGTCCGATAATTTTGATAATTTGTGTGATCAGTTTTATCATTCCTTTTATTTACAATGGAGGCATCATTGAACAGTTTTCACCGTGTTGTGTTCTTTATTGGGAAGCACACATCTGTTTTGACAACGGAGCCATAAACTAAATTATTGATGATTTTTCTGACGTTCAGATCACAGGTACATGTGTACATGAATTAATTATGTGTGCTATACATAGCCACAGCTGAGAGTAATGGTTGCTTTTAATAATTGTTGCTATGTGTTGTTGAAAAACCTTGCTGATGTGGCTCAATTGGTAAAACTGTACTTCCTGCTGTTCTTTCTGCTGACAGGTTTAATGAGTGGTGATATGCAAATATGGAATTAATTGTGTGTCTTGATCCATTTATGGCTAACTGTAGGAGTGGAAATGAGGCATGTGCATGTGTACCCAGTTCCACAGTGATTGAGATCTAAAACTCAAAACCATGCACACACAACTTTATAATTCTGATGGAAAGAATGCATGCCTATTTTTGTCTTTGTGCATTGTAGTGAATCTAAACAGAGTTTTATGCATCTGGCTGGTGTTGTAGTGACTGTTCATGTAGTTGTCGTCACTTGTTCTGGTGTAAATATACTGTAGCTTCATGGTGTTGCCAGTAATCGATCAGCCTGTTTTATGGGCAAGAATCAATGTAGCATACTACACCATCTAAACCTCTCCAGCACACATGATCGACACCGCTGTGTTCTTGTTAGGGCGGGTCGTTTTCTCATCTTATGTATCTTCTTTGCATTCCAGAGCGCTTTGTGTAAAGTGCATGTGAATACGATAAATCTGTATTTCTCTAAGGTACAGATGGCTTATGGCTTTTTGCAGGCATTCAAGCCAGTAAGATAGCTTTTGGCTGTATTTATTGCACTCTCGCATTCTTATCTCTACTTCAGTGCAGGCACACAAGTGCTGTATGTGATAGTGATCTTGGGTGAAATCATATCTGAAAATGGTGTCAAATAGTTTAGCTTCTGTAACTGAATTTCTTCTGATTTACGATACAATTCAAATACAGCCTAGGAAGAAAAAAGCCCACACAGTGCTCATGGCTTTTGTAGTGAATCATTGATCATAATCACAGAGAATATCACACATCCTGAATATGCTGTATGTTTCTAGGCCAGCTGATTCGTTATTTTCTCTGAGGGTGTTAGATATTGTAAGATAGCTTGTGACTCTATTAATTCTTCAAGAGAATTCTCAGTGTCTGTAAATTATTCAGGTCGAGACAACAAAACAAAACAAGCACCTTTCCTGGGAAATAATTCAAAAGATTGGTGCCCATGGGACAAGCACTGAGACCTGGATTATTTTTGGACAGCGCTGGCCGTGCAGAAGTGCCGCCCCATGTTAATTACATCACAAAGTCATGTTTCAGCCTTGTAACACTCAGCCTGAGGTCCTGCCGCAGTGGATGCTGGCCTTTGTTAGGCAGCAGAAGTGATGCTGCACCTGGGACTGTGTGTTGCAGTGTAATGTACAATGGTTATTCATTTAGTGTCTACTTACTGCGCTGGTAGTGCCATCTGTGTCTGTTAGCCTCTGGTGCAGATCAAACCAGACTGTCTGCAAAGGAGAAGCACAACAACAACAAAAGCAGCAACATGTCAATCAACAAGACCAACAGCAGCTACTACTACAGCCACAGATTGAAGCAGACATTAGTCACTCACAACTAGAGGTGTTAGTGGACACGCTGAGAGCAGAGACAGGCATGAAAGCAGGATGGGATGCCTTTTTAAGATGAATAAAGTTCAGCAGGGAATATCCGAGTAGACTTCAGGGAGGAGGCGGAAGCATGCCAATAAAATAAGCCCGAAATGAAACAGAATGACTTGTATCTGCATGAAAGGTCTAAATAAACAAGGACACTGAAATGCCAAATCAAACTGCACAGTATGATGTAGAAGCTATAGATGGCAGAGATTTAATTAAAATAAAATTAAAAAGAGAAGTTTTTCATAAGCCTGTTGGCAGAGAGAATGGAATTCCCACACACTGTCCTGTTACTTGCTATAAAGTTTATTGGATCAACGACATTTTGGCCGTCAGACCGTCATCAGGTAAGGCTAACCTGATGACGGTCTGACGATTGAAATGTTTATCCAATAAGGTTTTTGTGCAAGTAACAGGACAGTGTGTAGGTATACCATTTCACTAAACTCCACTCACCTTAGTTACAGTTGCTATGTCTGTCAAGCTTTCCATTCTCACATAATGAAATTTAAAATGAAAACGGTGGCAAATTTCACTTACCACTCAGTTTCTAGTAGTTTTATTTAAACGAATGGTTTGATTTAAGAAGTAAATGGGAGGAGTCCCTGATCTTTTATACTGTTGTCCCTAGCAGATGTTATCAACTCTAGCTAGCTTGTAGGCTAATGACAAAACTCAGAGAGGTGGAAAATGCTGCCTCCAGCTGACTAATACATTTTAAAACACAAGGGCTGTAAGAGGGTCTTCAGTATGCACGTGATGGTATGACATAATGCTAAAAGACTGAGGCAAAAGCTACTTATAGCCTATCCAAGTAAAAAGCATCTCCAATGGCTGATGATTCATGTAGAAGGCATTGAAATAGCCTAGCTAGGGACTGTTTGTTATTTATGAAGGGGAGGGAGGGTGCAAAATGAAGGAGGCATGTCAAAGAGGGCCTTTTTTTTTTTTTTTTTTGGTTTAAGGGAGGGACACACGACTTTTAATGGTTGTGTTTTATATTTATTTTCAATACACCCTAAACCCCTAAACCCCATATTTAAAATTGCCAAAATTAGACTATTCATCACTGTAAAAACAGAAGTTATTGTCTGACTTTTAAATTTCCAACAGTACTCGAACACATCATGTGCAACGAACACTTCCGTCAGAAAAATTTCTCAGTCTAAGTCTAAAATAGTGATAATTCATTAAAATCACTTAATTTTACATGTCTCATTTAAAATAAACTGTTTGCACAAACTACATCCTGTACAAACATATTCAATTCTGCGCTCCTGCATGCATGACAAAGGCTTTTCGTTTACAACTCTTAATTTTCAAAGACCAAGGGGTTAGTTTTTAAAATCTAATAGTAGTCTAATAGTAGCACCATGCCAAGTTGATACCATTCTGGCTGCTGCTGTGAATGTTATGGTTATTATGGTCATTATGAGCAGATGTTGCTTACGCCGGCTGTGTGTGTACTGTGATGTGTTTGTGTGTGTGTTTGCCTGTAATGTGTAAGCTCATTATATTTTGTTGGTCTTGTATGGTCAGTCAGACAGGTCGCTGTCATACAAACATCCTGCTGAAGTGCACACAGCTCATGTGATGATGCTATTTGTGAGGAGGGTTTGCATTTGATTAAGAAATTAGCTGTTTGTTTTGGTGATAACTCACACCCTCTGTGCTCTTTGCTTATTGCATTGGCTCAAATACTACCTTTGGTGTGAATATAAAATATATATGGTTATTTATGGTAGAGGGAGGGTCATGCATTCATTTTCCCCAGTCACCCAGGGAGGCTCAAGGAAAAAAGAAATAAAATAAAATAAAAGTCACATCCAAGCCACCCCACTCCTCTGACAAGTTAAGTACAGTCCCTTAGCTGAACATGCCAATGTTTGCAGCTTATGTTCGCGCAGATAAACACTATGTTATCCATCTTTCACTTTTTCTCTCGTGTTTTTGGTTTTGGAATGGCTGAAAAAAAGACACCACCCTTCAAGCTCCTGATGTAATGAGTTTTTCTCTCAGATCCCCATGCTTTGGGGGAGGGGTTTTAATAAAAGGTCAATTATTCACACTCAAGACTTAAGTGAAGAAGGCACTATGAATGGGCGCCAACGCCAAGCCAGGTGGGCTAATAGTACAGTATGTTTATGCGAGTGAGGATGATAAGACATTGATTTCTAGTCCCACCTAACCTAATGTAAAGCTACATTTTTTCCTATACAATAACTGACAGAATCCTAGGTTGCATTTTAGTCAATGCTTTTTGGTCCTCCACTGTTTAAACATGATTGGTCAATACTATTTAGACTACAAACAAAAACCAGAACACATTAGATACCAAGATCTTATCCAGTCCACCTATGATTCAGCATATATATGCAGACATTTGTTCACAGATATTACTTTTAATATATAAATATTAACTAGAGCAGCCTTAAGTTGAAGTGCATAGGGCTGCTGTACAGTATATATCTTCATTATGCCAACTGAACCTTAAGTGTCTCACATTAATTAAAGATCTTAAAAACAAAAAGAGCAATACTCCTCTGAAAAAAAAAGATTCTTTATAATGATGTTGGTTACCAAGTGATAATCACTGAGTGGAGGAACTAGTTTTCTGTCTTTGTATTTTCCGCTATTCTTCACTGAATACAAAAAACTAGGAATGTCCACATCATGTTTGTTTGGCTGATCACAAACCAAGTCCTTTCAAAACTGGGTATCTGTCGATATGAAGTCTGATCTGATACTGATATTTACTTAAATGTTTATTAACCATGTAGCCTGGCCAGACTGATCATATGTGAATTAGTCTGGAACCTTTCAGTAAATGTTCGATTTCCAGCGGCCATTCTCAGTGCGCACAGACCGAAATGCCTCCGGAAGCAATTGGATAGACTCAGAACAAAATGTGACCTGCAACCAATCAGAACAATGAAGCGTTGACATAGTGCTTAGTGACACATGCAAGTTGGGGCGGCGCTTGATCTGTTTTCAGGGTATGGTCACACATGAGTGAAATTAACATTGGCAATTATTTGCTTTCCATTCACCTCCATTCAGCGCGAGCAGAGGGCCGCTTCTTTTGGAAAAGCAACTTTCATCGGTGAAGGTACTGCCTCACCCAAGAGCAACAAGGTATGTGTGGAGGAGATATTGATTATTGCTGTGTCAAGCCAGCTGATAGTGTATGGTATTGGCCGTGAAAAATATGACTTCCCACGTGAGAGATGCTGGCTGGCTGTGAGTCCAGAGACAGGCATTAAACGTAAGAAAATGGAAAATGTACCCATTAATTGAACTGAATTGAAGGAGCCTGGCATGTTGCACTGGATGGAGCAGAAACTGGTGCCGCTGGTCTGTCAGTCATCGTATTAAACCCGCCCCATACTAGATACACATTTGTGATATGCCTACTTGGGATCTGGCTGGCTGGAAATTTGTTTAAATGGGACAAGGATCAGATGCATCTGCCAGGGAAATGAAACAATAGCTTGCAGATATGTCTGTTTCCCAGGTTATTAAACATGTATCTCATAAATTATTAGTATGTATGGATGAAAGTTTGGCTGTAAGAATGCCTCTCCTGAAACTGATGGGATGCGATCCCCTAAGAGAAGGGGTGTTACTTTGTTAGTTTTGGCTGTACAGCAGTGTTAAAGAGTGATGCTCCTTTTACCTCTTAAACAATCTTTGTCAGAGTGCAGACACACAAACCAACAGCCAGGTTCAATATTGGCCTGCCATCAAGTTACTCATGAATTTTGTATTAATTAGCAACAGCTGATATTACCAACTGTGAAAGCTCTGGTCAGCGTCGCCTAAAAAGAGAAGCTGCTATCTGAATCTTTTGTACACCGCTCACACCTCTACGGAAAAAACAAACAAAAACAAAAACAAAAAAATCCAACAAAAAGCTTCATGATCTGCCATAACAGGGCAGGGTAGTTAAAGTTATCAAAGCCACCATTACATGCTTTTATTGAAAACAGAGATTAAAGCTCCATCACTTTGCTTGACAGTGTTAAGCCTCAGTGTCACCTACACCAGATTTGCTGCTACAATCAAAGGCTATCATCTTGAGACTGATTTTTCCAGGTGAGAAACACATTTTCTTGTCTGTGGCACACAAAGAGCAATACATAATGATATTTTGTAACCAAAAGAACAAACAAACTCCCAGGGGAGCATGGAGGAAGACAGCAGGGGAATCTAAAAGTGAGACCAAGCAACAGAGGCAACATGAATTTTCCACCTTTTTTTTTTCTTTGAAGGTAACAGGATTTGCAGTGTGTTGTCACAGAGCAATGGGGCCAACACAGGGCACTATTTTCATCTTGCCAAGCACCACATCACTCAGTGTGTAGCTGGCTTATTATTCATTCAGTAAACAATTCATGCTTCACTCCGACGCAGTGTGATAATGTCATTTCCTTTTCCAGACTCCTGCACAGTCTTAATACTGAGATCCATGCAGGTAATACCAGGCCAAAGAGAGCGACAAAGACAAAGCCACATCCAATACGCCTCCTCAAAGCCATATTTTGCTTTGATATGATTACTGCAGTATCCTGTCTGGCCTTTGGAAAATGTAATCCAGCAGACAATGTCTACTCATTTGCTTTTCTTTAGCTCTGATTATTCTGAGAACACACTTTCCAACATAAAAGTTTGGTGACCCATTTTCTTTTCAGTGTACAGTGTTTTTCTGCTATTCTCTGTTATCACTGGAAGGGTCATATTGGGTGTAATTTCTTCTTTTCACAAAGAAAAGTAGGGAAAGACATGAAAATGCAGCAGCCTTGTAAGACATCAAAATAAAAGTATGACAGGATAATGCATTTTGAATAATC